TCTTTGAAAGATCGAAAAAGTCTAATTTTAATCAGATTGTAAATACTTACCAATGATTTTTTAATCCATCTTACTCGTACTTCTTCTCTCAGTCGAATGAGCTCTAGCACGTGGGGCACTCATATATATAGGGCCGACCTCGGTCTTTGAAAGATCGAAAAAGTCTAATTTTAATCAGATTGTAAATACTGACCAATGATTTTTTAATGCATCTTACTCGTACTTCTTCTCTCAGTCGAATGAGCTGTAGCACGTGGGGCACCCATATATATAGGGTCGACCTCGGTCTTTGAAAGATCGAAAAAGTCTGATTTTAATCAGATTGTAAATACTCACCAATCATTTTTTGATCCATCTTACTCGTACTTATTCTGTGAGTCGAATGAACTCTAGCACGTGGTACACTCATATGTATAGGGTGGGCGGATGTCTGGAAGGGACTGAAAAAAAACGAATTCATTCTGATGAGTAGCACTTGAAACCGATGTTTGTAGCTGGAAAATAGAGCTGATTAACTTAAGTTATTGAAATAATTAGATTGAAATACTGCAGATATGCGCGATTTTTTTCTGTTCTTTTGTTGAGTGGATTTTTATCGGAATTTTAGTTGCTGTTTTGACATATGCACTTGCGAGAAATGGCGCTGATTAATCAGCTAGAGGTTATGGTGTTCGTGCAGCTGGAACGAGTAGGTTTAAAGTGATATGTTATCGCATGCTGAGGGTTAGGGAGTGGCCATAGCTGAAGATGACGAAGAGATTCATACTCGTCACGGGCATGCCAAATGATCCACACCCACATCCACCCACAGCCTATATCGACTCCTACACCTATCCACGTGTCACACTATCCACACCACTCGCACTCTGGTGTTGTTTGTTGAAGTAGAAGTATTGCCAATCGGTGACATGTATAACTGGTGACGAGAACATGTAGCTTATATTTGATAGCAGCAGTTCGTCAACATTAACGGCTGTGGGTGTCGGAGTCTTCGTTTTACTCACACCCACACCCTGACGTACATCCTCATGAGAAATCAGATTGAAATATCTCACTTAACTACTTGCTACTTTTGGAAGGGTACTCGCTGCAGAGCGCCATATCTCCTCCTTCCTTAAACATTACGTATAGGGATTATGAATTCCGACATCGGATGTACATCCTCATGGAGAATGAAAAGGAAATACGTCATTTAAGTACTTTGTGCGTTCCAAAATGGTAATCGCTGCGGAGTATAACATCTCTATCCTCATACATTACGCATAGGAATTAGAAAGTATTTCAAATCGAATGTATATCCTCATGAGAAATGAAATTGAAATGCCTCACTTGGATACTTTGTGCTTTCTGAAGAGGGTAAGATGCGTGTGGGCGTGGGTGGAGTGCATATGGGTTTGGATGGGTTTGGATGTAGCTGTGAGTATGGTTGCCAGTGAAGACTATATCTACGTCCACACATCCATCGACAACCAAACTGGTATCTACACCCAAACCCACACCCACATCCAGACCCTCCTGGGAATCAATGACGTCTCCAAAAAGTGGTTCACATTTATATTCAGATCATTAGTTTTCTTCGTTAGGCACAACACTTGTTTGGTGTAGGTGTGTCGGTGGATGTTGGTGTGAGTGGGAGTGTGAATGTAGAGAAACTCTTAAATACACTCACACCCAAATCCATACCCACACAACCACATCCTAGTTTTTGAGAAATATTAGAAAGATGTTTGAAGCCCTTTCAGAAGCTTAGAAAGACGCTTGAAAGATCCTTATAGATCTTTTAAAGTCTTTCAAAGATCTTAGAAAGATGTTCGAACGATCTTTCAAAGTCTTCGAAAGACTTTGAAAAGTCTTTGGAACTCTTTGAAATATATTTGAAAATCTTGGAAAGATGTTTGAAAGACCTTTCAATGGTTCTTGAAAGTTTTTTCAGAGAGCTTTGAAAGATCTTTGGACGATGTTTGAAATATCTTTGAAACATCTTCCAAAGATCTTACAAAGGTGCTTGAAAGTCCTTGAAAATCTTTGAAAAATGTTTGAAGGACCTTTGAAAGCCTTTGGAAGTCTTTGAAAGATTGTTGAAAGATCCTTGTAAGTCTCTGAAAGATCTTTCAAACATTTTCGAAAGTTTATGAATTTTTTTCAAAGACCTTTTAGACTCTTCGAAACTCTTTGAAAGATCTTAGACAGATATTTGAATAATCTTTTGATTTCTTGGAAAGCCTTTGAAAGATCTTTGAAAGACCTTAGAAAGATGTTTGAATGATCTTTCAAAATCTTCAAAAGCCTTTAAAAGATCTTTGAAGCATTTTTTCAAAGCCTTCTAAAGTCTTTGAAAGGTGTTGAAAAGTCTCTGAAAGTCTTAGAACGACCTTTGATAGATCTTTGAAGCATTTTTTCAAAGTCTTTTAAAGTCTTAGAAAGGTTTTTGAGAGTCTTAGAACGACCTTAGAAAGATCTTTGAAAGTCTTAGAAAGATCTTTGAAAGTCTTAGAATGACCTTTGAAAGATCTTTGAAAGTCTTAGAAAGACGTTTGAAAGATAGTTGAAGCATTTTTTCAAAGTCTTGTAAAGTCTTTTAAAGGTCTTGGAAAGTCTTAGGAAGATCTTTGAAAGATGTTTGGAGCATTTTTTCAAAGTCTTCTAAAGTCTTTGAAAGGTCTTGGAAAGTCTTAGAAAGATCTTTGAGAGTCTTAGAAAGACCTTTGAAAGATCGTTGAAGAATTTTGAAAGTCTTCTAAAGTCTTTGAAAGGTCTTAGAAAGTCTTGGAAAGACCTTTGATAGATCTTTGAAGCATTTTTCCAAAGTCTTTGAAAGGTCTTTCAAAGTGTTCGAAAGCCTTTGAAAGATCTTTGAAGCATTTTTACAAAGTCTTCAAAAGTCTTTGAAACGCCTTGGAAAGTCTTTGAAAGATCTTAGAAAGTCTTGGAAAGACCTTTGATAGATCTTTGAAGCATTTTTCCAAAGTCTTTGAAAGGTCTTTCAAAGTGTTTGAAAGCCTTTGAAAGATCTTTGAAGCATTTTTACAAAGTCTTCTAAAGTCTTTGAAACGCCTTGGAAAGTCTTTGAAAGATCTTTGAGAGTCTTAGAAAGACGTTTGAAAGATCTTT